TCAATTTATAATTTATCTATGTGAAGGATTTGAGAAGAATCTGAAACTTTTTGAATTTATTCACTGCTGAGTGAGTGAAGTGCTTGAACTATTCTTTCGAGCCTTCTTTACCTTGTTTCTAATCGAAAATTTAGAAATTATCTGTTTTGTCAAAGGCAACTTGCTTTCAGATTGTTATGATATCGTATATTGTGGATGCAAATTGTGATTTGAATCGTCCCACCTCAAACCGAACTCGTTTTGAGCGACACTGTCGTATGTTTTCTGTTCAGTTGTGGTTTTATCTATTCACTTGATTTTTCTTCTGTATCCGGAAATTTTCATTTCATTGTGAGATTTTGCATTCTTTTTGGAATTGTTTGTGATTTCATTTGGAAATATTTATGATTTCATTCGTATGAGTAATTTTTTCCCGATCGGTTTTTTTTTCAGTTGTAACGAAATCTTCAAATCGTGCGCTACCGTTCGACCTGCAGCAACGTCTGAAAGAAGCTCGACTGAACGCATTTGTTTTTGAGGCGTCAAACGAACGCCATCTTTTGAGTCAATTTTTGTGTCGTATGCAAAATTTGAATCCTGATGTCGTGTTGGTTCGTGCATATCTTCTTATGAGATGATTTATTAAAAAAATCGCATAATGGGAGAATCTCCCTAATCCATTCGAGAAATCCGATTGAATATCCCTCTTTGGATTACTCTTAGTTTGGAAAATTATATGTGTGTAGAGTATTCCATTTAAAAGAATTTGAGTTGATTGTTTCTGCATTCGATAGAGTTTAGAACAATACTTTAAATTTCGTTAATGAAGTCGTGGATTTAAGGAATTTAAAGTTGTAAGGAGGTTTCGTTCAAAGTAAACAGAATGCTTGGATAAGTACAATTGAATTATCATTTACGATGAAACTGATTTACATTCAAGCGATTTGAATGAGTTTTGATAGTGAGTTATGAATTGAAGGGTCACGATATGCCGACCCGTTTGTCGACACTTGTCAGTCGTTTGGAGAAACTGAAAATAGCGCAGTGGTCTCGAATCTGCCGATTGAAACGCTCGATTGCTCTGAAGCAATTGGGACGATCCAAAGCAGCACAATGGGAATTAACTGCTGGTCGACTTATTGTGGACAGTAGGCGAGTTGAATGAATAATTTCATTTGCATGATGTTTGTTGATTTGCTAGTGTTCTGCAGTGATGATTGATAATTTTTGATGTTATAGAGAATTGAAGTTTCGCTGTATTTCATTTCAATGTGTAAGCAAAGGGCAAAATTGTGGTTTGTTCCGCATGGCATTGCCGAACAAATGAAACTCGCTTGTGAATGTTTGAAACTTGTTGTGATTGAGATTTGATAAATTGAAAGAAAATGACGAGTCTTGCTAGATTTATATTATGTGTTTGTGAGCGATTTCAGAGATTATTGTTGAATTGCTGTTGGTATTGGTTAATCGTGGAAAATTTTGAAATTATGAATATTAATGCGAAAATATTTTATAATTTAGATCGTCAGCTATGGAATTGGTGAAATCGAGAAGTTTCGATTTGGCTGAGTTGGCAACAACTTTACTTGGATTCAATGGCACTGCAGCAGAGCTTTCCATCGAAGGCGCTGAGTCGTTCTCGTGAGTTTTCGATTCGATGAAGTTTGGATTGATCTCGTGAATTCGAGTTGATTTGGGCGGATTTCTTTTTTCATGAAGAATTTATATGGGTTTTTAGTGGAAAGATGTGTTTAGTATTGAAGAATCATGTGTATAATCGAAAATTGGGTAGCAGTCAAATGAAATTTAGGAATTCACGTCAGCTGATCGAAGCAATAAATCGTTCATGGTTGAATGTTTGGCTAACAGTCTCGATTATCGTTGAGCTGAATGCTTTGCCGTTATTTGTGCAGATCACACAGACTGTTGGCGGTGTTTTGGTGGGTATTTCGTTGGTATTTTGTTGATTATGAGTTATTTTCTTGTCAATTCCTTTTTTGAATTATACAGCTCGCTCTTGAAAATTTTAATAATCTCGTTACTTATTGATGTTTTTTATTAATCATTTGTTATTTTGTTTATTTACTAGGTATAATGCATTACTTTGGGTGTTTCATTTAATGGCAAATGAAGTTGTATTCTCATTTTTAGTCTCGAACACTGATGGGTGGACGTGCGGAACGAAATGAATTCCTTTTATTGCACGCATTTCACAAGGCTGGTTATGTGGCACCGAATAAGTTTCAATATGAATACCATCATCATAATCAGAAGAACAAGAAGAAAGATACTGAGAATACAGAGATGAATGAAGACGAAACTGAAGAGAAAGGAGACGAGAAAACTAGTAAAAAGGCACAATACACCGGAGGACTTGTACTAGAACCAAAGAAAGGTTTTTTCATTTGGAATTGTTTTGGTTTAGATGAAATAGGGTGGCTTGTGGTAGTGTTTCGAAGAGATTGGTATTTTGAAAATTTTAGTATGAGATGGAGATACTGAACTATAATGTATGACATGTATGAGATATGGTTTATCAGTAACCTGCGATATCTGATGTGGTTGAGGTCTCAAGATGTGTAAATGCAAAAGTTTGTCTTGATTTCAGGTCTGTACGATAAATATATACTCCTACTTGATTTCAACANTTTCAACAGTCTGTATCCGAGTATCATTCAAGAGTACAATATTTGCTTTACGACAGTTGATCAGTCGAAAAAGGTTCATTTGTTTCTGATTATTATAAGTTTGTGTTTGTATATTTTTAGTTTAGTTGACTTAAGCGTAAGAATTTTTGTGTTTAATTGTAAGAAGATGGATACATTGTGAGAATTGTGTAATTGTAATTTGGAGGATGATTCGGAGCTGCCGGCACTACCGGATGATTCTGAAGAGGGAATTTTGCCGAGGGAGATTCGTGTTCTAGTCGAGAGACGTCGTGCGGTCAAGAATCTGATGAAATCTGAAAAACTGAGCGATCATCTAAGACAACAGGTAAGATAAAGTCAAAGTGAAGAATATTTCGAAGGGAACAGAAGTGCAATCTCTCTCCGAGGTTGAATTTGTCCTGAATGTAACATTTGTTAATTTGGTAATTCATTTGTGAAGTTCATTTTGAGATAAATTAACAATTTCAGTACAATATTCGACAAATGGCGTTGAAATTAACAGCGAATAGTATGTATGGATGTCTTGGCTTTACGTATTCACGTTTCTATGCGAAACCTTTGGCGGCATTAATTACTTCACGAGGCAGAGATGTGAGTTGTCAAACGTTTGGTGTTGTGTCTAGTTTTGTAATTGTAATTTTTAATAAATATTATTTATAAATGAACTGATCGACATTCATTATTGTTTCAGATTCTAATGCATACCAAGGATTTGGTCGAGAAAGATGGCTATTCGGTTATTTACGGCGACACGGATTCGATTATGATTAATACGGGATTGGACAATTTGGAAGAGGCGAAAAAATTGGGCAATAAGGTTTGTGCTTACGGTTATCGAATGAGAAAATAAATCATGTGTTTGATCAGTGGAAAGATTAGATGAAGGGAGTAATATGTGAATTGTTGAACAAGTTGTTTGAGTTGTTTGAGATGCAGAAGCGATAAATGAATTTTATTGGATTACAGTTGAAAAGAATGGTCAACAAATGTCATACAAAACTGGAACTAGACATTGATGGTCTCTATCGGAAGTTGTTGTTACTGAAGAAGAAGAAATATGCCGGATTGGCGGTGGATTTGAATAATTGCGATAAGATGAAGAAGGAAATGAAGGGGTTGGATATTGTGAGACGTGATTGGTCGATGCTTGCGAAAGACATAGGAAAGTTAGTGTGATTTCCTTAATGTTGTTAACTGATTTGTTCAATTGGACATTCGTATTTGATGATAAATTTATTGAGATGTTTTGATAATGAATGAGGTAATAAGGCAGAAATTTTAATTTAACGGTGATTCGCAAGCAGTTGAGAAACTTTGGTAATTCATATTTAACATGAGAAGAGATGGGGATAGATCTTCGTGAATCATATTGATTAGGCCGTTGTTGATCACTTTTTTAAAATAATTGATATTGATTAGAATTCTTCGGTGATTTGATTCAAGTTTCGTAATATAAAGATCAGAAAATTGGTGAATTGTTAGTGGAAATGGATCAGTTTCTTTCGTTTTCAGTGAAATAGTAGAGATGATATTATCGATGTCGTTGAAGCGTGAGGAGTTGGACACGTCCATATATGACCGATTGCGTTTCTTGCGGAAGGAATTGGATGACGATGCGATCGATATTGAGAAATTTGAAATATTTAAAGTGAGTTGAAAGAAACTGACAATCGACTGCACAACATTCAGGCTTATTTCTTATTGTCAAGTGTACCGTTCAATAGAAATTTTTTTATTGTTTCGTAAAGAATAACGCATTATTCAATGCGTTATTTATTGTTTTAGATTGTACTGTGACATGTCAGATCTCTGCATGAAATAAATGATTTACATTGCTATTCTATGAAATATGTGAATAATTCAGAGCTGAAAGTACCTCGAGTTTCGATTTAGAGAATTAGGGAGAGCCTGAGGTAAAAGTTCCTAAAGGAACAGTCCAGATTGGTCATTTAGGTGTTTGTTCATTTGATCATTCAGTGTGTTGGAATGAACGGATCTTGTCGGATTTGAGATTTGAGATTCAACAAATATCATCTTAAACGGATGGATTTCAGCAGCTCACTCGTGATCCAAAGGAATACGCTGATATCAAGTCTCAGCCACATGCGGCTGTTGCGCAGAGACTGAACGAGAGTGGCAAATTTCATTTTCATAAAGGCGATACCGTGAATTATATCATTTGTGAGGTGGGTTTTTGAGTGATTCGATAAGATATGTTTGCTTTTTGCTGGTTTCACTTTTTTCGTTCGTTTCGCGATTGGTTTTGTCATGATGGAATGAATACTTTGTTAAATGAACTTTGTTTCGTTAGATTACTCAGATCGGAAATTTGAAACCTTCCATTTATGGATAAGTTCAGTTTTTGTGTTAATGCTGAGGTTCGAAACTAAGAGAAATGCTCGTATTTGTTTTTCAAATTGTCTCTCTCCATTATTGTTTAGCAAATCCATTTTTCACTGTTCGTTTGTGTTTATAACGTTTATCCGCAAATATGGATTCATAGGATGGAACGCAAAATTCGTCCACACAACGTGCTTATCATCGTAGTGAAATTACATCGAATAAAAATTTACATATTGGTGAGTTATTTGAATTGAGCTCTGAAGTCTTCTAATTTATTTTTATTTTTTAATTTTTTTTGTTTTTATTGCAAATTCATCGTTGATTTTGTGTTGGGGAAGAAAGAAATGAGATTTCAAGAATAGATTATGCACACGTGTGGGTTGAAAGATGTGCTGAATTTGAAATGAAACCATGAGAAATTTGAGAGAAAAAAATTCCTTCTCTTGTTGCAGATATTCATTACTATTTGGCACATCAAATCCATCCGGTAGTGTGTCGTTTGTGTGAGCCAATCGAAGAAATCGATGCAGTGGGCGTTGCGAACGCACTTGGTTACTTGCTTATTCGTTTGTTTGTGAATTCATTCTCTAAGTTCCAAATGAACCTTTATATTAGAAAGTTCGAGCAATCCTCAAAAGTGCTCAAAATTGCATTACATTTTTT